AAAATCCTATTTGCCCTACAACAAGCAATAGCACACTGCTTGTATGGCTTTAGAGACTGATCGACAATTATACCAAGATCCATTTCTTCCATAACACTATTAAGCTTATTCCCATCCAAATTATACTTATAATTAAAATTATGATAATCCACATGCATCATCTTGCATTTATTATAATTAAAACCCATCTACCATTTATTTGCCCAATTCACTAAATGATCTAAATCCTTTTGTGAATCAGCAGCATCCTCTTCACAGCTAGCAACACCCAAGATCTTAATATCAGCAGCAAATTTTAGTAATTTATTGACCATTTCTTCATCTATGTCATTGATGTAAATCTAAAAGAGCAAAGGTCCTAAGACTGAGCCATGATGTACCCCACTTGTGACATTAATCCAGTTTGACTGAACTCTATTTATAACAACCTCTTCTTTCTTCCATCCAGTTACTCTTCTATCCAATTTGCTAACTTATCCTACACACCTAGAGAGATTATATTTTTCTACAAGCCTTTTATGTGTTACCTTGTCAAATGCTTTCTGAAAATACAGATACACCAAATCTACACCCATACCCTCATCTACATAACCAGTAAACCTTTTTAAAAAAATGTCAAAAAATTTGTAAGGTAAGATTTTTTCCTTAAGGAAACTATGTTGATTATCCAATAAAATTTTAAACTTTGCAAAGGATCTTTTATCAGACTTCCCAAAACTTTTCCCACAATTGATATAAGACTAATAAGCCTATAATTACTGGGACAATTTTTATTACTTACCTTGAAAAGAGTAGTGAGATTAGCTAACTTCCAATCCTTGTAATATCTTGTATAACATTTTCATTTTGATAAACTAAATTTGTAGCTAATTCAGTGGCTTCATTTAAAGGAATGTTTGTAAACAGATTCTACAACTAAACTGGCTTTACATACAGATTTGATATAATTCATTGTTTTAGTACGACATTGGAAAGGGTAAAGCTATCTTTTACAGTGTTAATAGATGAAAAAATGTACTTAGAAAATTAATTGATTGTAGTCAAGGTACCAACATTTGAAATAATGGTTCTCATTGGTGTTTTCTTTGTGTGTCTTAGGTAAACTGTATAGGTCACATGGTTTGGTTTGTTATGAATTTCGCACAAAGCTTCATGAGGGCTATCTGCACTAGCC